TCGTTCGGCTCAGTCGCGGCAAAAGAGTTATGCGGATCGTAAGGTTCGAGATGTAGCTTTCATGGTTGGTGAGCGGGTCTTGCTCCGAGTGTCGCCTATGAAGGGCGTGATGAGATTTGGGAAGAAGGGCAAGCTTAACCCTAGGTTCATTGGCCCGTTTGAGATTCTCGATCGTGTGGGAGAGGTAGCTTACAGACTTACCTTGCCGCCCAGCTTGTCAGCCGTGCATCCAGTGTTTCATGTGTCCATGCTTCGGAGGTATCACGGCGATCCAGCCCACGTGTTAGATTTCAGCACTGTCCAGTTGGACAAGGATCTGTCTTACGAGGAGGAGCCGGTAGCCATTCTAGACCGGCAGGTTCGACAGTTGAGGTCGAAGAGTTTTCCATAGGTACGTGTTCAGTAGAGAGGTCAGCCTCTTGAGGCATCGACATGTGAGTCCGAGTCTGATATGCGGAGCCGTTATCCTCACCTATTTCCCGACTCAGGTACTTCCTTCTTTTGTCCGTTCGAGGACGAACGGTTGTTTTAGAGGTGGAGAACATGACGACCCAAAGGTTCATCACCGGACTTCTTCCTACTTCCGTGCTTCCGAGGCCTTAAAAACCTCGTTTTTAGTTGCCTCGATTTGCATGCGCAGTCCGGGCGCGAAGCCGGAAAGTTTTTATGTCGAACTATGTGAACTTTGTGAAAAATTTGAAGAATTTTGATATTAATATTGCTAAAGTTGACTTTGGTCAATATTTTTGGTAAACGGACCCGGACCTGTAATTTGGCGGTCCCGGAGGGTCCGTAGAAAAATATGAGACTCGGGCATATGCCCAAAGTCGAATTTCGAGGTCGAGAGCCCGAGAAATGAATTTTTCTGTGAAATTGTTTTTCTGAAATTCTTAAGGAAAATGGAAATAAAAATTTATTAAAAGACTATGGTATCGGGCTCGTATTTTGGTTCCGACGCCCGGTACAAGTCTTAAATATGTGTTAAGCGCTTTCTGTAAAGTTAGGTCGAAATCGGACGTCATTTGACGTGTTTCGGACCTAAATATCTAAAGTTAGAAGTTTAAGAAGTTTGAAATGATAATGATGATTTTGAGGCTTGATCCATTGATTTTGATATTATTTTGGCGATTTGATCGCTCGAGTAGGTTCGTAGGATGTTATTGAGTTAGTGTGTGTGTTTGGTTAGGAGCCCCGAGGGCTCGGGAGTGCTTTCGGAGGTGTTTCGGGATGTTTTGACTTAGGAAAACATAGCAGAAATTCTGCAATTTTTGCCCAGTGATTTCCTCTTACGCGATCGCAATCTTCAGCCCGCGATCGCGTACCTTTGGCTCTTTACTCTTTCGCGCTCGCATACTTGATCACTCGATTGCACTGCCTTAGCATTTCCTTCAATGCGTTCGCACCAGTAGGATTGCGATCGCATAGACCAAGTTTTGGCCCCTCCCCTCCCCCCCCAGTATTCCCTTACGCGATCGCATTACAACCCACGCGAACGCGTTGACCATTCTGTGTAACCCTTAGCGATCGCTTCCCTACATCCGCGATCGCGTAGGGCAAATTCGCCCAGTTATTTTGAAGTCTAAAAACAGAACCAGTGACGGGATTTTTCTTCACTTTTCACACGAGCTCTTCTCTTAAACCCTCCATAGACGGAATTCAAGCTCTCCTTCCTCCATAACTCTTTGGGTAAGTAATCTTAACATCATTCCCTCATTATTTCTTTATCTAATTACTAAATTCCTAGCCTTAAATCATGAAATCAAAGTAGAAATTAAGGGTTTTGGGTAGAGTTAGGTTTTTGGGAATTTTGGGTGATTCAACCTCAATTTGGGGTCGAATCTTGAAATAAATTAAATATTTGAACTCGTGGGGTTATGGATGATTGGGTTTTGGTCCGAGCCTCATGTTTGGACCATATGGGACCGGTGTCGAATTTTGGTATTTTGGGAGAATGGTTGGAAAATTCATTCCTAGACTATTTGAGCCCTTATTGATATTATTGAACTAATTATGACTAGATACCGTTGTTTCGGAGTTGGATTGTAGAGGAAAGGCGGTAATTGAGGATTGATTGCTATTCTTCGGACCGAGGTAAGTGTTTGTTCTAACCTTGGCTTGAGGGAATAGGATTAGGATGTTATTTGCTACTTGCTAAATGTGGAGTACGGTGTATAGGCATGGTGACGAGTTTCTATACATCGACGTCTAGCATGACCGTGAATCTTAATTGCTTTTAATTCGAATGATGTGACACCACAACCTTGTCTAATGAATAAATTTCATATAATGTGAACGGTTGAGGAAAGAATTGTGATTGGTATATTTTGGAGCGTTGGCTCGAACAAGAATGTGATAGTTGAGAAAGAAATGATTCAAAAGAGGATGTGTTGTGATTATTCCCTTGCCGGGACGTGTAGACTATTATTATGTACTCTCCCTTGTTGGGATAGTTGGGCTGTTAGTTGTACCCTTGCCGGGTTAAAGTGTTATGTTGTCGAATTCCCCTAATGGGGCCTTCTTTACAAAGTCAGATATTTTGAATTATAATATGGGATCGTGTGGCACGCCGACCACTTATATATATTATGAAATGGGATCGTGTGGCACGCCGACCACTTATATATATTATAAAATGGGATCGTGTGGCATGCCGACCACTTATATATATTATAAAATGGGATCGTGTGGCACGCCGACCACTTATATATATTATAAAATGGGATCGTGTGGCACGCCGACCACTTATATATTATGAAATGGGATCGTGTGGCACGCCGTCCACTTATGAATTAAGAAATGGGATCGTGTGGCGTGCCGACCACTTATATATATGAGCTATGGTATGGAGATAGCTTCGTTGTTATATGCATTGATCTGTATTCGCTGTATCCTTCCCGAGCATGCCCCCTTCCCCTTTTTAGTTGATATTCTCCGTTGTTATTTTCTGTTGCCTTGTATATATTTATCTGCACAGGTTGCTTTTGGTAGGCCCTGTCTAGCCTCGTCACTACTTCGCGGGGTTAGGCCAGGCACTTACCAGCACATGGGGTCGGTTGTGCTGATGCTACACTTTTGTGCTTTTTGCGCAGATCATAGTACCGGAGCAAGAGCCTTTGGTCAGCAGTAGGAGCGTTGGGAGCTTACTTCAGTCCGGAGATTCCGAGGTAGCTTGCTGGCGTCCGTATGGCCCGGAGTCTCTCTTATCCCGGTCTTTTGTTTGATTTCCCTTGTATCGGATTAGACAGTACTGTACTCTCATTCAGACTTTGTATTTAGCATACAGTAGAAGTTCGTGAGTTAGTGACACCAGATCTGGGTAGAGGTGTATTTGAAATTTCGTACTTGGTTTCTGTTATTTATGTTTCGAGATTTCCGCTTTTATGTTGATTGCCTCGTTCTTATTTATTTTGTTAGTGATAATGAGAGAAGTGTTAAGTTAATTGGCTTGCCTAGCTTCTATTAGTAGGCGCCATCACGACTCCCGAGGGTGGGAAATCCGGGTCGTGACATTTATTCCTTGAATAAAAAATCTGAAGATTTTGTGCTTTTAAAAATTTCAAAGTTCTCGTGAAAAAAAAGAAAGTGGCTATGAAATAATAACTTCATAGTCCGATGGAGGAGGTGAATTCACTTCAAAAGAATTTAATGACTTTTGTCAGTCTCATGGAATTCATATCCCTCTAACGGTACCTTATTCACCCCACCAAAATGGAGTTGCAGAGAGAAAGAATCAAACGATTCTTAATATGGCTAGATGTATCTTGAAAGCTAAAAGTATGCCCAAGTAATTTTGGGCCGGATTTGTTTCTTGTGCAGTTTATTTAAACAACAGGTCTCCAACAAGAAATGTTAGGGATCAAACTCCTCAAGAAGCATGGAGTGGAAGAAAGCCAAGTGTAAGCACTTGAGAATCTTTGGGAGCATAACCTATGCACATATGCCACAACAAGGGAGAGCTAAACTTGACGATCAAAGTGTCAAGCATGTGTTTGTTGGGTATGATACAAGTTCAAAAGGCTACAAGTTATACAACCCAAGCAGCATCAAGGTGGTGGTAAGTCGTGATGTTTAATTTGATGAAGAATTGGCACGGAATTGGGAAGCTCAGGAAGAAACTTCATAAGATTTTCTTCCATCCTTGGTGATGAAGAAGAACCAGAGACTGTGGATCATGTGCAGGATACAATTCCACCTCCTTCTCCAACCAATGTTGCATCTGCTTCCTCAACAAAGTTCAAATGAAAAACTGCAAAGGACGATGAGTATTCAAGAGCTCTATGATGGCGCCGAAGAAGTTACAGATTTTGATTTTTTATATTGTCTCTTCGCTGACAGTGAACCAATGAATTTTGATGAAGCTATTACAGACAAAAGGTGGAGCCAATCCATGGAGGAGGGATCGAGTCAATAGAGAAGAATCACACTTGGGAGTTAACAACTCCTCCCAAGGGTCATCGAGCAATTGGAGTAAAATGGGTATACAAGACAAAGAAGAATGTTGATGGAGATGTGGAGAGATACAAGGCACGACTTGTGGCTAAAGGCTACAAGCAAAGGCAAGTCATTGACTATGAAGAATTCTATGCACCTTTCCCCGTATGGAGATTATTTGTTTGTCGATCTCTATGGCGGCACAAATAAAGTGGAAGATCCATCAACTAGACGTCAAGTCAGTCTTCTTGAATGGCTATCTTGAAGAAGAAGTCTATGTTGAACAACCATTGGGCTTTGTACTCGAAAACCATGAAGATAAAGTGTTTTGGTTGAAGAAAGCTTTATATGTATTAAAGCAAGCCCCATGAGCATGTAATAGTTGCACCGACAAGTATTTTCAAGAAAATGGGTTTACTCGCTGTCTCCATGAATATGCTCTTTACCTTAAAGTTTATACTAATAGAGATATCTTGATTGTTTGTATTTATATTGATTATCTTATTTTCACGGGTAATAACCCAAGTTTGTTTGAAGCTTTTAAGAAAGATATATCGTGTGAGTTGGAGATGGCGGACGTAGGGCTCATGTCATACTACTTGGGCCTAGAAGTGAAGCAGATGGAGGATGGAATTTTTATCTCTCAAGAAAGCTACACAATAGAGTTATTGAAGAAGTTCAACATGCTCGATTGCAATACCGTGAACACACTGATGAAGAGTGGGACAAAATTGTCCAAGTTTGATGAAGGAGAAAAAGTGAATCCCACATTTTTCAGAAGTCTTGTGGGAAGTTTGAGGTACTTGATTTGTATCAGGCCAGATATACTCTTTGCAGTTGGAGTAGCAAGTTTCTTCATGAAAGCTCCTACCTCCACTCATTTGAAAGTCACTAGAAGAATTCTTCGTTACCTAAGAAGTACAATTGACTTTGGGCCATTTTATTCTTCTTCTAGTTATTTCAATCTTATGGGATTTTGTGATAATGATTATGCTGGAGATATTGATGATAGAAAAAAACACAACTGGCTTTGTGTTTTTCTTGGGTGATTCTGTTATTTGTTGAAGTTCAAAGAAACAATCCATAGTTACTCTCTCGACTTGTGAAGCCAAATATGTAGCAGCAACATCATGTACTTGTCAAGCTATTTGGCTAAGAAGATTATTGATTGAGCTCAATTTGCCACAAATTGAAGCTACAACGATTTGTATTGATAACAAATCCAATTAGGCACTCGCGAAGAATCCAGTGTATCATGATTGAAGCAAGCATATAGATACAAGGTATCACTTTCATCAGAGAATGCATTGCCAAGAAGGAAGTCCAACTCAAATATGTGAAGCGTCATGATCAAGCTACGTATATTTTTACAAAGCCTCTCAAGTTTGAAGATTTTCAGAGTGAGATCAAGACATGGAATGCAGAAGAAAAATCAAAATTAAGAGAGAGATTTGTGGGATCAGCCTCATCAAATAAAAGAGAAAGAAAAAAAACTAAAGAAAAAATGTGATTGGTGGAAAAGAAAGCAATGGTGGGCGGCAACTGATTTTGATGGAACAATTGGTTTTGGTATTGCAATATGCAATATGCAAATTGCATATGCAAACATTCTGACTGGTTGGTTCAACGCTGGAGGCGTCTATATAAGGAGCTTCAATACCCTCTTTCCAATACACCCAAAATCACAGTAAACTTAATAGAGCGTAGAGAGAGTAATCCACATATTGTAGTCTGTGAGATAAATAAAAAGTGAGAGTAATATCGTAGTGTGGTGTTTAAAATAAAAAATATTATTTCTTTTGAAGTTGTATTATTCTCTTGACACTACCAAGTTGTAATATTTTAATGGTAATATATTTCTCCGCTCGGGTATTATATTTTACGCCGTTAAAATATATGATTTTGTTGTTACTCACTTGTGCTGTTATTACTTACCATGGATATTATTCCTTGGCGGGATTTTTTTCTTTCCCAACGAGAGGTGGAGCAAGGATTTAAAGTTTACCGGTTCTAAATTTGCCACAGAATCCATACCTCTTCTTAGTTACTGTGTTCGCAATTAAATATTTATACATCTATAATGAATTTCCTAGTACAAATACAGTGATTACGAAAAAGTCACTAGGTTCGGCCGAACCGGCACCTTATAAGCTATATCTACCTCTGATACATTGTACGATCATAGTTTGTTTATTAACAAAATAGTGAATAGGAAGACCAAGCATCATCAATATAGTCTCACATGTGAACCCTAATATTCAACAACTAATATAGGAAAAATTGTTGGCGCAGCTGTAGTATATAAGAAACTAGTGATTATCCGCGCTTCGCGCGATCTTGAAGAATTAGCTATATATATATATATATATATATTTTGTAAAGATAGTTAAAATTATGATGAAGTTTTCATGTATGTGTATACCAAAAAGAAGTTATAATTTGATTGATTAAACAACAAATATAAAAATTTTGTATGATCAGCTCCAACAATCTTCATATCATCAATTTTATGTAAACAATGTACATATGAATAAAATCAGTCATATTATACGATTCTTTAAAATAATCTAAACGCTTTTTTCATATGTTTTCTAATTATTTTATAATCGACTATACGTTTTTTCTAGTAAATCTATTTTAAGATATTAACAAAAAAATAAGTTATATATATATATATATAGGGTTTTGACACAGTTACCCACAAAAACAAAACTATTTACCCTTATTTATCCATTTATTTTTCTACCCACAAACTAATTACATTTCCTACCCATAGTAGTTTTTGTGGGAAATTTTTTCTTTATTCTCCAATTCTTTTTTATTTCTATGCTTCTTTTCTCTTTTTTTTCTTTTCTCCTTTTCTTTTTTCTCGTTTTTTTCTTTTTTTTTTCTTTTTTCCTTTTCTAATTTCATTTAACTTCTTTTTTTTATATTCTTTTTCTCTTCATAATCTAATTTCATTTACTGTTTCACTATTTTTTTATACTATTACTAAAGAAAAATCAAATTGTGTACCAATTAAATGTAGCTAATACAACCAAAAAATATTAACTAACATATGATACCAGTATAGTATATAGCTATACCAACAGGGTATACAATTGTACGCAAAGAGTTAAAAAAAATTAATTCAATTATTAAACTGAAATAATATCAGTTGTCAATAAAAATTTCAAAAAATTCTAAAAGGATCTAATTGTAAGAGTATACCGTTACATTATATAGCATACTATAATACTTTTTTTTTTTTGCATTTTCAATTTGCCCCTCACGCTGGGTAAAAGCTTAAAGCAAATTAAAAGGGAAAAGGCAAGTGAATTTATGGGTAATAAGTATACTATTATTGTATATTGTATACTATTACAGCATACTGTTACAGTATATTGCATATTATTACAGTATACTATTACAATATATTGTATACTATAATAGTATATTGTTGCAGTATAACTATATACTCCTATAGTATATTGTATACTGTAGCGGTATACTGTTAGGTAACTGTGTTGTTCTTCGATTATTACAATATATCGTTGCAGTATATGGTAAATTATAATAGTATACTGTTGCAGTATAGCTATATACTCCTACAACATATTGTATACTGTAGCAGTATACTATTGGGTAGCTGTGTTCTTCTTCGATATTCAACTGAAAATTTCGATCTCAATCACCTCAAATCAGCTCCAAATGCTATCAAATTTCAGTATGAACTTCAGAAGGTATTATAAGCAATATTTAACAGCACCCACTTAAAATCAAACAAGAAATCTTCAAAATAAAAATCTGAAGCCAAGGCAAGAGCAAGAGCTAGGGAAAGAACAATCAAGAAAAAGTGGAGCAGAATTGAAACTAGCCATTTTCATTAGTGGAGCAGAATTGATCCACATAATCTTCGTTAGTTTGAGCGTTGGTAATAAGAAGGTCAAAATCTTTACCCCTACCAAAACGTTTGGATTCAAATATTTTTAATTTCAAATTGCGAGCAGAAATAAATTGATCATAATCAAGATATAGTCAAAATCTTTAGCATTTTTAGATTATGTGCTTTGATTCTTCAAAGCACTGATTCTTTTAGATGGATGGAATTGAAGCAGCACTGATTCTTCAAAAGTGCTTTGATTCAGAAAACGCTGAGAGTTTAGATTGATGGAATTGAATCAAAGCACTGATTCTTCAAAAGCACGCACAGTAGGGAACACGAGTGAAACCACATGTGGATCAATATGTGCCCTCGTCCAAATTCTCGTGTTGAAAGAAGAGCTATTTAATAGAATAAATAAAAAATCGGGTAAATAGTTTGGGCTTCATGGGTAGGAGTAGAAAATAGTTTGGGCCTGAGTATTAAAGGGTAAATAGTTTGGAATTAATGGGTATAATTTTCTCTCGTTGAAATCACTATGTTATGTCCAATTACAATTTAACATAGACCAAATGCATAGAAATTTACCCTATGGCTAACCTCTATGTATATCTTCATCTTTCTTCTCATATATTTTGGCATTTGCACGGCTTAAAGCTGAGTCTTTAACTTCCCATTGCTATGGCTTTCACTTCTGATCTTGAGAAGAAGAAATCATTTATATTTTGACTTGGGTAGTTCCTTGTGTAGTTCTGTTTTCTACTGCTTTTTTAATGGAAGAGCACTCGTTATGAATGAAGGCTGGTTGAGATTACCCTTATCTTCTTTTTGTTTTTCAAATCACTGTTTTTTTACTGCCTTACACTTTTATATCCGTTCTCCGTATTTTGCACAATATATTTCACACTATCACGGTAGGCAGAGTGGTTTGTTAGAATCGTTCTTTGGAGGTACCCTTTGATTGCATTTTTCTCTCTCACGAAGAAGAAGAAGAAGAATTAGCCACTGAAATGGACAAGAAAATATATTATACAAGACTGTTGTATTTTTAGTGTTTATATACACAAGGTTGTTTTTTTAATTTTTTTTGAAAAAGTAACGGTTGGAAGCAGAAGTTGGTTACTTATTTATATTGGACACAAAGATTCAGAGAAGAGGTTAGTTACTTATTAGGACAAAACCTTTCAAAATGTTTGTATCTTTTCAAGTTTTCCTTTTTTAAAAATTTTAAATAGAGAAAAATGGTCAAATATTTGACAAAAAAGAAAATTATGTTTTCTGAAATTAGAGAGTGCCACATCACCGATCCGTTTCCTCAATTATATAGATATGTAGATTGGGTTCCATCATGCCGAACACTTTGATTTGCTTGTCATTGCACGTGATGCATGAAATTCATTTGGTAGTGGACTGCCTCAATTTTAGCGAAAATCCTCTTTGACTCACATTATTTGTTGTTGTAATTAAAAGAATTTTATTTACCAATAGTAATATGTATAGCGTCAAAAAAACCAAAAAAATACAAATAAACTGAGATCGGACAGGACCTCAATCTCAAACAACTCTAGCTACTCATCTGTTTGCTTGTACTAAGGATAGAAATTTAAAGTCCCTAGCTTCCTTGCTAGCCAGCTATACATTGATCCTCTGCAAACCACCTCTTATAAGATCTGCCTGATAAGGATTGCTGGTGACCTCTGCTTTCCTTGAAACGCCCTAACATTTCTCTCCTGCCATATCTGATAGATAATAGCTGCCAGTGCCATCGTATAGACTTCTGCAGATGCATTCCTACCCTTTACATTGTCCACTGCCCAGAGCAATTCATCTTGTTGTGTGATTGGTTGAGTCCTTGCTGCTACTATCATTCCTAGTTCATTAGTCGTGCCCTTATTTTTGTTCCTTTTAGTTCATTAGTTCGCCGCTACTTCTGTGGTAGTTCCTGCTTAGAGTGTATTAGATTTTAGTGGTTGTACTAAACGATGGTAAGGTAAGGTCATGTCCTCAGAGGAGGGGATGGGGGAGGGGTCCTCAGGGGGTGGGGGTGTTGGGGGTAAGGGTAGTAAAGATGCCTCCGGGTTGCGGGGTGGGTCTTGGAATATAGAGACTTTGACGGGAAAGTCCTTAGAGTTAGCGAAGATTCTCCATAAGAAGAAGGTCAATATAGCTTGTCTACAGGAGACTACA